CGGCTTTAAATCTGATTTCTGTAAGCTTGGCCTTAGGAGAAGCATGCCCTTAAGCCTAGTGGACTTTCTTACTCCTTCCTACCTCTGTGAGATAGATTCTGTCACTGCTATTTTTATTTCCAAATGTTCTTACCACAAATTATGGGAAAAGGATGTTATTTTTAGCCACTAGACCTTTTCTTTGTATTGCTTTTAAAATACAGAATTAAAACCTTTTTGTATGGCTAAGATCTTGAATATTGCCTTCCATTATTTTTTTTTCCTTTCAGTTATCAAACTACTGGATGGTTTAAAATAAACCCTACTAACATTGCTTTTTTTTCTTGATTTCTTTCAACTGAGAGAAATATTTTATGTTTTCATAATGCTCTCTGTTCTTAAACTCCCCAGGAAGAGGAGTTGTATGCATGTCAGAGAGGTTGCAGGCTGTTTTCAATTTGTCAGTTTGTGGATGATGGAATTGATTTAAATCGGACCAAATTGGAATGTGAATCTGGTAAGATGCTACGCTAATGACATCAGCTGTGTATAACATTGTTTTTTCTTGAGTTGTGTTACTTTTTTTTACGTTTTCCTTAGAAAATGACATACTGTTTAAATTAGTTATCCATAATTACATATATTGTAATAATTACAAATTTAGAGTTTTAACAGATGCTACTAAAACATTACATGGACTTTAAATTAATCTGTTTGTTGGGATGATGTTTATTTTGTACTATGGACAGAATGTCTTTGTGTAACCTAAGTGTTCTACTTCCACAAATGCAGCAGTAATTACCCTGCCTATCATTCATTACCTTTTCATAGATAGTATAATTTTCCTACTAAGCCTTTCAATCATAGGATAGTTAACTTCATTCCAGAATTTTTACTGAATCAAGTCTTTGACTCATTATTTAATAGTGTATTCTTTATTGATCATGCCAGTAAAAGTAATTGGAGACTTTGTAACCTGTTAATCACTGTTCTGATGCTGAAGGACATATAAGCCTATAATCAGGACACATGAACATTTACCTTTTTAGAAAACTAATGGGATTGTCTCCATTTGTTACAGTTTATTCACAAAACAACTCTTGTCAGTCATTGTTGTAACTCATACCTAGTTTTCTGTGATATTGCTTTATTTTTAAAGCTTTGTCTACTAACTGGCCATTTTTCTATGTGCACAGTACTGTTCAATTTATTATTCAGCACCTTTCAAAAGAGTA